AAAAAAGGAAATTCTGTGTGTATCTGATCACACAGACCAGCATATATGACCGCTGCCAACTACTGGCACATGAGGAATCAAATGGTTGATGCCAAGCCAGTCACATTTGCCTCCCATAAAACTTCCATATAAGGCTAGGTTAACCAAGGTAAATTTTACAGCAATTCCATCTCGAGGGAGATTTGAACAAATAACCATGCAGACAGGCAGGCTGGCCACTGTGCTCTGGTGGCTAACTATCGGTAGAGGAGAACCTCTATTCTCGAAGCATCTACAGTTAATAATAATTCAATATTGGTAGAGAATTTGCATCAAACAAAGAAGAATGATGTTAGCAAAAGTCCCTGTATCTGCAAGGACACTATTTAGTCTACATTTCCTAACACCATTCCAGTAACCAACGCACCCCACACACCAGCAGGTCTCTGACAGCTTTCAAAAGTGTACACATTATAAATGCACTTCAAAGTTTCTACATGATTAATGCCTCATACCCTTTCTTCAAAGGTGACTGGGAAAATTAAACAATGAGGATTTATTAAATTTTAAATTGGACTAAAACACAGAAGAGAAGCAGACATAGAGATGAGTAAAATAGTGAAGAAATGCAGGTAGCTGCAGGAAATGGCAAACAGGTGAGGACATGCAGGTAGCTGCAGGAAATAGCAAACAGGTGAGGACATGCAGGTAGCTGCAGGAAATGGCAGACAGGTGAGGACATGCAGGTAGCTGCAGGAAATAGCAAACAGGTGAGGATATGCAGGTAGCTGCAGGAAATAGCAAACAGGTGAGGATATGCAGGTAGCTGCCGGAAATAGCAAACAGGTGAAGACATGCAGGTAGCTGCAGGAAATGGCAGACAGGTGAGGACATGCAGGTAGCTGCAGGAAATGGCAAACAGGTGAGGACATGCAGGTAGCTGCAGGAAATGGCAAACAGGTGAGGACATGCAGGTAGCTGCAGGAAATGGCAAACAGGTGAGGACATGCAGGTAGCTGCAGGAAATGGCAAACAGGGAAAGACAGGGTTCTTTAACTCATTCAGCACAGAGGAACTCATCATGCATCTGCTACTACGAGATACTTCTCTGAATCCCCTGTGCCTCATCCACTTGCTAGACAACCTTCCCCTGTCCAGTTCTCACTTAAACTCCTTAAGTTTCATAATGTTGTTATTAAAACTTATCTTACCACTTCAGGTCTAGTATTTCAAATGTCTTATTCTTCTTCTGCCTTTCTATCCCCCATGGAGCATAGGCCCTCAACCAACTCCTGCCAATTCATTCTATCCTTCACCATTACATATGTCTGATGCCGATTATTTAAAGTAATGGCTTCTAAGAACAGAATGGAGTTACAATAACCCCCTTTTGCTAATGAAAAAGTTAACACTGAGTAGTTTATAAATTGTCTGCTAAAATTTGAAAACAAATCTGCGTGTTGTCTCCACAGTGAAGACTGGCTGGAGTGCACCCCTCTTGTCTTTGGGATTATTTCATGGTGGAACTCTCATACGATTGCTTGGAAGTCACGAGAAAGGGTCAATTTTTTTGACAAACTAAACATTTGCAGTTTAAATCTAACAAAGGATCAAGCAAACAGGATCTTTTCCCTGCTAAGTTAATTTAAAAAAACTTTCTCATAACACAAAATGACTAGAGTAGTGTGTTTTTACCATCATCAGAAAGGGCATAAAAATGTGTAAACAAAGATCAGACTTGCACCTGGGTACAAACTATCATCGGTACATGTGTACACAAACATCAAACACACCTGGGTACAGAATATCCTCGGTAAATGTGTATACAAACATCAAACACACCTGGGTACAGAATATCCTCGGTAAATGTGTATACAAACATCAAACACACCTGGGTACAGAATATCCTTGGTAAATGTGTACACAAACATCAAACACACCTGGGTACAGACTATCCTTGGTAAATGTGTACACAAACATCAAACACACCTTGGTACAGACTATCCTCAGTAAATGTGTACACAAACATCAAACACACCTTGGTACAGACTATCCTCAGTAAATGTGTACACAAACATCAAACACACCTGGGTACAGACTATCCTCAGTAAGTGTGTAGACAAACATCAAACACACCTGGGTACAGACTATCTTCAGTAAATGTGTACACAAACATCAAACACACCTGGGTTAGACTATCATCAGTAAGTGTGTACACAAACATCAAACACATCTGGGTACAGATGATCCTTGGTAAATGTGTACACAAACATCAAACACACCTGGGTACAGACTATCCTTGGTAAATGTGTATATAAACATCAAACACACCTGGGTACAGACTATCCTTGGTAAATGTGTACACAAACATCAAACACACCTGGGTACAGACTATCCTTGGTAAGTGTGTATATAAACATCAAACACACCTGGGTACAGACTATCCTTGGTAAATGTGTATATAAACATCAAACACACCTGGGTAAAGACTATCCTTGGTAAGTGTGTATATAAACATCAAACACACCTGGGTACAGACTATCCTTGCTAAGTGTGTATATAAACATCAAACACACCTGGGTTAGACTATCATCAGTAAGTGTGTTCACAAACATCAAAGACACCTGGGTACAGACTATCCTCAGTAAATGTGTACAAATGTGGACACAAATATCAGATTTGACATCACAGGGCTCGGGACACTTCTTAAATTGCTTTGTCCCCATATTCAGCTTCAAGTAAAGAGTTCCTATTCTGATGGCACCAGTAACCGTCTGATTGTATCTCCGTCTCATCCTTCCACTGAGTGTTGAGCGTCGGCCAGATCCCCTAGTAACTCCTCACCATTCTCCTCAGACCTTAATGATCTATCTGTGCCTCAGCACTGTTCGATCGTTCCCAAAGAACCCTCCCAACATCTAGCTTGTCATACAACAGTTCACCACCAAGTGGTACAGAGCCAGTCAGTCTATCTGCCTGCTCATTTCCCGGCACACCAGAATGACCTGGAGAAAATATCCAAAGAATGCTAACCATCCGGGACCTCTGAAGGGATGCTTGCCACTCTGCACGTAATGTGCCTGTCTTCACCTCTCCCAACATGCTCTGTGAGTGTCAGGGTCCTATATGGTTATAGGGTGATTGCAAATGATGTTGATAAATAGTAAACTTGTGACTGAACAAAGGTGATGAAGCAACAGGGTTTCCCCAAGTTTTGTTCAGTATTGAACGTCATGGATCTGCCAGTGAGTTTTCTTGCCCTGACGGCAGTGAAGTAGATCTCTGACAGTAAGTCAATTACAATCAAGGCATGTGTGTACAGCTGATTTTCAAGCCAGCGGAAGGCGGCAGAGACTGCCTCCACCTCCGGCCTGGGTACAATTCAATCATAACAGTGCATTCTGTGGACTTTCTCTCCATTGCCAACATAATTCAGTTATCTGATTCATAGTTCCCTACAACAGGATGACTAGGCATTCTGTAACTGAGCATGTTTTGTTAACAATACATTTACAGAGAAAACTATACAATGGATATGCAAAAAAGTAAAAAAGCCATAACTGTGTGGGTAATAGTAACACCACTGCACCCCAACTTTGTATATAGCTAGTTATCCCCGTGTGGGTTGCAAAGCAAAAATAGATTAGACCCACCACCTCCAACAAGCATGTCATAAGAGTCAACACACAGGTTATTACTGTAAAAAAGATTTCCTGAAGTCTGACAATCTCTTTAGCAAACTACACCTCAATGTAGAAGAGGAATGACTTAAGTAATTAAGTATAAATACTGTATAAAGAACCTACCCCCACCCCTCTCCCCCCCCCCACCCAAAAAAAAACAACAACTTAGTTTTGAAATACTAGAAAAAATGTCAAAGATCACAGGAAACCTGCCAGGATAAGGTCTTATTTATGTTACAAAGACAGAGACGAGTGTTCTTGAAGACAAAAACCTAGTTAAGCACTGATGAGGTGGTCAATCAATAGACACAATTTCAGGCATGCAGACAAGCAAGCATGAAGGGTCCAAGAGAGCATCACAAGACAAGTACAGTGGTCAAGTACACCCCTTGTCAGTTAAATAATGAGACTTCATTTCATTATGAGTCTCCGTGGCAGAACGGCTAGATGCTCGCCGCGGATCGGAAGGTCGTGAGTTTGCTCTGTGGAGGAGACAGACTTTAAAAAAAAAAATCACCTCGGCTCCTAGATCGACCCAGCCTTGAGTGGGTCCAGGGTGCTGTCCCATGAATTAGAGGCGGTCGGCGTGCTGCTGACCACATCACCCATCTTGTGCCGATTGGTCTATAAAAATATAGGTCTAGCCCTATATGCCTAAAGGCGTGGAAAAGGGTCCTTTCCTTTTTTTAACTTACATTTCATTATGGCTAAGACAAAAACACCATCTATGGAGCAAAGCCAATTATCTAAACAAGCTTCATTCATGATTTTTAAAACTAAAATACTGCCAGACTCCCAAATGATAAGTAACCTGGCATTTCTTTTAGCTAGTGAGAGTCCATTATTACATAAGCAGCACAGACAAAAAGGGTTACATTTCAATTCAACTGAGTTTAATAGTTTAACCACTTGGTCACTAATTATCTGAATAATAAAGGTGTTCTTTGGGCAATATTTTGCTCATTAAATCAACAAAATATTGCACCTTGTGATCTACCAAAGGGAGCATTGAAAAAGAAATATAATCAGCACTCAGCAAGGGGAAAACACTGCAAAAAGACAGGACAGTGGTATCAAGAACCCTAGAGAGATGAAGACCAACTTACAGCTGCCCTGGAGTGAGCAGTAAAAGGATCCTTATATCCCAGCCTCCCACCAAACACTTCACGGAAGCAAATGGATGATGAGAAGATGGCTCATTGATGGGTCCTCTACTTATATTACTAGCCCAAGTGTTACTGGGGCCCGTAAGCGAAGTAAAGAATAGTTACTGTGTAACCTATCTAGCATGCCGTAAGTGGCAGCAAGGGTAGGGATATAGTGTAACAACTGGCTACATCATCTCTGATTTAATGTTGCTAGCGGTTCAGCCTTTTTCAGGAAAGGATGATCTAACAATTGACTGGCGCTTGCTCTGTGGGTCACATCCACCTCTAGACATCTGTCAAGGAAGTCCCTTAGTTCTGGGGATAGCTTGTCTTCGTCTTTTATGTCTGGCTTTCCCTAGGGATTAAAACAAATCACAGAATATGTGAAAAATAGAAAAACACAAAAACAACCACAAACAAGTTAAGGATCCTTTACTTTTTACACAACTTATATATCTGGTATATGATTTCCATAGATCATTCAACCCTTGATAAATAATGTGGTCAACATTATGCCAACCACCTTTATTTCCCAGGACATTTCTTGGTACAAATCTTAGAATGGATCAATCAGAGAACCTCTAGTTAATCAGGGAACCCCTAGTCAATTATTAAAATCCAACCAAACATGGATACACATTCATGATTTTTAGAGCACAGGTGTGTGAGCAATTAATGAGAAGAAAGTTTAGTTTCTCCAAATAGAGATTAAACACTGACCCACCAACACATCTGCTGTTATTTGGGAGACAGAAGTTCTTTAATACAGCAACATATATGAAACTAAAACACTATATATATTGTGTAGATAACTGAATAGCAATTGTGAATTAGAAGAACTAGGAGATCAAACTGTAAAATGATTTGATGTCTCAATGGTTATGATGAAGCTAAAAAAAAAAAAAAAAAACAGGAATCCATGATGAACAACTGTGTCAAAGATCCTTTTTTCTTATTTAATTACTCTGGCTCGTCAGGTAGGCCGGATAACAGATTCAACTACCCTAAAACGCACACACCTATGGAATACACGCATAATCTTTAATGAACAAAGAGCATTTCAACCTAAAGCAAGCCTTCAACAGCTATGGACTGTCCCTAATCCGAAACGCTGGCTGTGGTAGCTTTTACATTCACTAACACACTGTGCCATTCCCATGAATGTACCCCGGAACTCAATTCCACCTTTCTGTCATACAGAGCTAACTAAGCTGCCTTCCTCGCCACGCGAGATTCAGGGGCACATGCTGGGTGAGTGACCCAAGTATGAGTGGGCAGTGTCAACGCCACCAACAACGCATGCCAACACTAACTACCTGCTTAACAGACTCTGCGTGAAAGCTTCTACTACACAAGTACCACTACACATGAATTCTTGTCAAAACACTGAATGGAAACCCATCATAATTAACTCTACCAGACTGCTGGCCCACTATTACAGGAATTTCCTAATCTGCCCCTAAACCGCTGTCCCTCAATGTCAGGAATTTACATACTATGAGAAAACAATGAGACACAAACTAAAATAACCAGCCAATCGTAATCAGATCTTGTGGATAGTCTTCCTAGATGTCCGCCCGCATGTGTTTGGATAAAATTTGTGTTGTTTTACGTGAAAAATTCTGAAAATTCACAATAAAACCAGCGGCTGATGAACCAAGCACTTGAACAGGAAAGTAAAGTAGGTCTAGGCTTTTCACAGTCCAACAGGTGATCGATACTTTGGTTTATTCAGACTCTGCGGAGTCATTATTTATTGAAGAATTGTTCACAGCTGAAGTGACAGTCAGTGAGAACTGGAATGATGAGGACAATCTTGCAAATTATAAATCTAGAAATAGATCGAAAGTAGGAAAAGGGGGTGTGTCCCTCAAACAGCAACATCTGGTGTTCACTTTGTGAAACAAGGTTGATCCTGCTGGGTGGTTTAGCACACAAAGGTGGAATTTTGGCGCTAGATGAAAGGTTAACCTATTTTCTACAGTGTCTCCAAGTTTCATCTTACTCTAGCCACTTGTTTGCATGTAACTAATATTTGTGTATATCATGTTGGTTTTTTTGCGTTAATGCACAGGAACTCAGGTATAGGAGGCAGTTAGGTTGAGGGCCTAAGGCTGGTAGAGTTAAAGCCTAATCACAAACACTATCCTTGATAATCATCACTAATATAAGATACATTAAGTGCCGCTGCCCGAAAAATGTCTTGTCCAAGCATCCTACACAAGTCTCCTGAACAACCTTTGTTCGAAATTTTTTTTCTTTTCCAGTGTTCAGTTCTGACACGCTGTCGCTCAGTCCAACTCATCCAACAGTTTACTCCGTGAACTACTCATCCTGTAACCGAACTGGCCTCTGATACACTGACTATCTATAAAAAAATTTTTTAGTTTAAATGTTCAGGGTTTGTAGCCAAACCCTGGGGGTCGCGTTAGAGCAGTCGATAAGAAGCTCGGTGTTCGAAGCCGGGCGGCTCCTGGGGTTCACCCAGCCTCTATAAAATGGGTACCAGAGTGATACTCTGGGGTAAAAAGAGGAACGTCACTGTAGCTACAGAGTTACGTGAATGCCGACACAGGCGGACAATTCTTATCAGTTGTCCGTACTGGTGGCAAAGCACTTATGGTTTATAACCGTGTGCAATGACGCTGGTTCACATCTCCCGACTTTACCTTTTACCTTTACTCCATGATCAAACTGTTTGATCTCATCCTGAGTTTGATTGAGGGTCAACTTGTACACCTGTGATGATTTGTTATCATCACATCTACTCATCCTGTAATCGAACTAGCCTCTGATACACTGATTATCTATTAAAAATCTTTGTAGTTCAGGGTTTGTAGCCACATTCACCAACCCTTTCCAAGGATTTTTTCCAAGATATTATTGTGGTACTTTTAGTATTAATCAGGTTTTTCACCCTATCCCGTCCAGCGCGACATTTAATAGAGAATTCCCTGGGACAGTTCTACAGTCTGGAAAGGGGTGTTAAGTTTAAGGTCAGAATAGTTGCTGGTCGTTTAACACCAACGCTAAAACTCCTATATTCTAGGTGTGTCATTTGTTGGTTTTTTCAATGTTGCGATCTGCCCTCACTCTGCCCTGTGTGGAAGTGCTATCCTTACTTTGTGACTTGGCCTTAATTTTCCTTGAACTGTCAGTATTCCTGCATGTAAATGTAACCCTAACACGTTAACAGTCATTCACAGAATGAGTTGCTCACTTTCATCTGATAAAAACGAAACCTGCACACTTTCATGTGGGAGGCAGTGTGTCAACCCGGTCAAATGAAGCTGTATGGCTTTAAAAATCTGCAAATAATTCCAGGCAATCGTGTTCATGTCGATCGAAGGCAAGTCATAATGCCCCTAGACAGTGTGACTGTCCTGGGGAATTCCCTATAAAATCTAGGCGCATATGAAATGGGGTGAAAAACCTGAATAGAACCAGGCCAAACAATTTCTTGAGGCCTTAGAGTTGTGGTTCTACAGAAGAATGCTTAAAATACCTTGGACAGCCAAAAACAGCAACCATAAGGTTTTGAAAGAAGGGGGAGCCCGAAGACAACTTATCACAGATATCAGAAGGAGACAGTCATCATTTTTCAGACATGTTATCAGAAGAGAGAAAATAGAACATGTTGTGACCACTGGAAAGATCTGTGGAAGAAGGGATAGAGGAAGACAACGAGAGAAGATTCTTGGCAGTCTTGTTGCATGGCATGGAGGTGTGTCGGCACACAAAGTGATACATGCTGCAGGAGATCGCAAATTTTGGAGAGGCATGATCGCCCACGCCAGTCAGCAATGCACCTGATGATGATGATGATGTCAACACAATTTTTCTCAGCATCAAATCTTGATTTTTCTGTCTCATGGTATTACTGCAAAAAAAAAGTATTTACCTTAGCTGCGATGTGGTAAATTGCTTTGAAGGGCGTTATGTTCAGAAACGGTGGCTCCCCTTCCAACATCTCTATGACCATGATGCCTAGACTCCAGATGTCCACTTTGTTGTCATACTGTTTACTGTGTACACACAATCATTACGTTCATTAGGACTGTACACGAATGTGATGACTTCGCAAAGCTCGTTTTCGGGTGCTGAATTATACTGCCATGTGACTCAAATATATTCAGTAAATATAAACTGACATTCAAAGACCCCATGGCATCCTGGTATGATGTGAATATGATGAGTGTAAATAGGGTAAAAGGAGTATTGAAAGTGTGTGTGTGGGAGCGGGGGGTTAAATACCATATATTCTGTGTGAAAGCTGTATTCAACTGATAATCCAGGATTGCTTTGTTGTGAAAGCTCTAGACGACCTAATTTTTGATCTGTAAGAATGCACTGGTTTTGAAATCGCAAGAGCCATGACAAGGGCTTAGATCTCTTGGGGTGCAGAGACTGGTCTTTTAACATGGTACCAAAGTAATCTTATGGGGACTGAATTGCAGTGATCTTGTTAATCACTTCAAACTCGGAAACTATAAAACCTTCCAAGACTGGTACTGAAATTTCATGCCTGCGTCTTAATCTTCCCTGTCTCAAGTTATGAATGAGTGTGTGTATGAATGTGCATGTACCTGTACTTTTGCATGGAAGTATGAATCTATATATGTGCATACTGTGTATGTGTGTGTGGATACAAGTACAGTATACAAGTTGGGTATTTGAAAGGGTCCAATATGAAAAGGGCCTGAGTGACCAATCAGTGACCCTCTGAAACAAAAGAAGTTTGTTTGTTCACTCGTTACCTCATGGGGTTGGGGGGGGGGGGAGGAGGAGATTCATACCGGTTCATGCCTCTTCTGATTCTCAGTCTCTTCTTGTTATGCTAGCAGCTCTTCTAAGACATTCCAGTCATTTATATTATTCTGCACTCATTATTTGTAGAGAGGGTCAACGTTTGACATAAGCAGCAAAGTGTTGGCCAAAAACATCTTCCTTATTAGAGTTGCCTTCACACTTGCTGAGAAAAATTGTAACCAGATGATTCTACAAAACACTAATCAGATGTCTAGGATGTAGCTGAGGTTGGTAATGCTTCCATCATGGCTTTAAGCAAACCGCTATCAACAGACTCCAACCAAATGTCCAGAAAGAGTTGTGATTCACACCCAAAAAATAAACAAACAAAAACCAGTAAGTTACAACATTATTCAGGCACTGCAATGATAAATCAACAGTTTGAGGAAGTCAGGGCTCTGAGAGACACTCTACAACAAATGTTTATGAGAGCAGCCGGAGGTACAGGACTGGATTCCATACACGGCATTGAATGTATGCATAGAATAGAATGGAGCAATTGACTGTGAGCCTTATGTCATCCACAACAGAATGATGATGGTGTAATGCTTCAGCTATAGAAACATTGTTAGAAAAATAAATTACCCATTGACAGAATCCAAGAATGTAAAGTTAAAACAAATCAAGCTTGTCTGAAACACTACTTCTGATGCAAAGAGGTGCATAACTAGACATTCCGCAGGAAGAAGAACAAAGAAGAATGTTTACAAAAAAACATAAATGAAATGAAGAAATCTTAAAATCTTCAGATTAACCTTTTGATAACCTCCGGAGCCATCCAATATAGCGTGCCTATTTGTGTGTCTCGTTTCCCCTGCTCACTGCTCAGCTGGGCACAGAAACCAAAGTCTGTCAGTTTGACAGCACCGGTCATCCCTAGCAGTACATTGTCACTCTTGATGTCTCGGTGGATGATGTTGTTGCTGTGAAGAAACACCAGAGCTTTCAGACACTCGTGGCACACTGCAGCAATCTGGCCCTCATTCATGACTATCTCTCGGATCACATCAGTTAGTGCACCGCCATCTAAATACTAAGACATAAAAGATACAAATTTTTATTCATTTAAAGGGGGTATAACTGTTGTATGGACGCACACACACACAAAATGCAATCTATATATGTATAATTACTGTACATAATTGAAATAATACATAAGTACTCTATTACATCAGTTCCAGGAACTATCTAATTCTACCAAAAAGTAAGTAAGTCTTTCCTCTTGTGTCGAGTGCGGCACATAGGGCAGAGGTCATGACTCTCCATGCATGGCGGTTCGTTGCAATCCAAAAAAGTTTTTTTTTTTTTTACTGACTGTTTTTAAATTGTAAGTGCAGGTTATCATAATTTGAGATGTGTTCAAACAGAGCAAAGAATTCAAAGAATTCACTCCATTCCTGTGACAATAAAAATAATGGTTTTGTAGAAATAACCATGTGGAGAAATATGACATCATTATGAGGTTACTAAAATGTTACAGCGACCTCCATCTCCACCCCCATTCCATATTTCACATAAATATATTCATAGAAACCACATCTGTGCATCATACAGCTTCATTCAGTACAGGAGGCGTGGCAACTGGCCAAAGACATGTCATCGAAACCTGCAAATGCTGAAAAAACTGGCACACGCAGGGTGGCAGGGCTTAATACTGCTTATCTCTGAACTGCTGTGGCCAATATACATATGAGAGTTCTCAGACCCTTTACCCCATTGACTACCCTAGGCACCATTTACACCTGGCTGCTATGATCTCACCCCTTGCGATCATTAACTTTGGACACTCCCGCCATGTTAAAAATATGATTTTTGTGATAAAAAATGTATTAAAGGGTTGGAAACCACTGCTTTAGCCCATTCATTTTTCTATATATTGCTTTAAGGGAAACAACCTGGTAGTGCTTATAGTACATTTTTTAAAATGAATTTTCATTAACAGCTCCCAAGCCGCTGACACATTAACGAAATTTTCGTCATGGCATCAAATTCCTAAAGGGAGTGTGATGGTCATATTTTTTTATTTTTTTTTTTCTGCTGCTGCGAATAATTTTCTTGATTTCATTTTTCTTCTGAAAGTAAAGGTTAAGATATTACTGAACAGTCTGATGACTGACTTTGATAAATCTAACAAAGTGCGATCAAAAACATCATCGACAGTGACACAATGGCATGTCACTTTGAAGTAAATTCTAATACTTGATGGTTCAACCAGAAGTAACATCGGCGGCTGCAGACATTAGTGCAGCCATTTCTGAATTTGCTAGCGAAAGTTTTGAGAGGCCTGTACATTCATTCTAAAAATATTGTGTCTAAGGCCTGCACATGATGAAGATATAATTGCAGCTTTTGACACAGAATCATCATCATCTGATGATAAGTCTAGGGAAGACTGGTTGATGACTTGCACTGGGATTTGCAAGGCTTTCCTGACATATCCCCATTGACAGAAGAAGGTGCACAGAGGGTGTAGAAAAAAATAAATGTATAAATTCCAGAAAATAAAAATGCTAGAAAGGGACATGACAAGTTACTTGTGTAGGAAAAATCAGCTACCGCTCTGTACAGAATGATGCTATGAACTGTACCATATCACTGAAAAATATTGGCTGTAAAATTGGATAAATATATTTTTAAAATTGTGTTGGTTGCATTAATACTGAATTGCTCACCACTTTCTAAACTGATAAAACAATACAATTTCATGTTTTATATGTTATTAAATTTAGTCTATATTGTTGTCAGATAAATGATTTTCATTTTTTTTTTGACACCAACTCTGCAGAAACACGATGATGAACCAAGTAAACCTATATTTTTCTAGCAATTTGTTCTGTTCGATTTGGTAATACAAAGTATAATAATTTTATGTTAAATGGCTGTGAAGTTATGACATATTTAGTACACACTAAAATAAATATACAAAGTATGATAATTTTATGTTAAATGGCTGTGAAGTTATGACATTTTTAGTACACACTAAAATACATGGTTTCTGGTAACATGCAAGGGTGGTAGTCAGTGGGTTAAACAGTGAAACCTGGTGTGTGGAACAGAATCATAGGTAGTCAGTGGGTTAAACAGTGAAACCTGGTGTGTGGAACAGAATCATAGGTAGTCAGTGGGTTAAACAGTGAAACCTGGTGTGTGGAACTGAATCATAGGTAGTCAGTGGGTTAAACAGTGAAACCTGGTGTGTGGAACTGAATCATAGGTAGTCAGTGGGTTAAACAGTGAAACCTGGTGTGTGGAACTGAATCATAGGTAGTCAGTGGGTTAAACAGTGAAACCTGGTGTGTGGAACTGAATCATAGGTAGTCAGTGGGTTAAACAGTGAAACCTGGTGTGTGGAACAGAATCATAGGTAGTCAGTGGGTTAAACAGTGAAACCTGGTGTGTGGAACTGAATCATAGGTAGTCAGTGGGTTAAAACAGTGAAACCTGGTGTGTGGAACTGAATCATAGGTAGTCAGTGGGTTAAACAGTGAAACCTGGTGTGTGGAACTGAATCATAGGTAGTCAGTGGGTTAAACAGTGAAACCTGGTGTGTGGAACTGAATCATAGGTAGTCAGTGGGTTAAACAGTGAAACCTGGTGTGTGGAACTGAATCATAGGTAGTCAGTGGGTTAAACAGTGAAACCTGGTGTGTGGAACTGAATCATAGGTAGTCAGTGGGTTAAACAGTGAAACCTGGTGTGTGGAACTGAATCATAGGTAGTCAGTGGGTTAAACAGTGAAACCTGGTGTGTGGAACTGAATCATAGGTAGTCAGTGGGTTAAACAGTGAAACCTGGTGTGTGGAACTGAATCATAGGTAGTCATTGGGTTAAACAGTGAAACCTGGTGTGTGGAACTGAACAATAGGCAGTCAGATAAACAGTGAAAAATGAGATTTGGTTTTACAAGGGAAAAAAAACGACGAGAGCTGCTAAGAAATGAATTCACTAAGAGAATTGATCACCTATCAGAATCAGATAATTCATTCATTTATTATTTCATGAAAAGAAGAAAATTGAAATATGTCACAACATCAAGGAAGCTGGAAGGCAAGAGAGAACATCTATATCAGCAATGACTGACAGTACATGAGAAGGCATGGATATGATTACCAACAGCACACATCACAGACCAGGAGGAAGAAAATATATGATAGTCCACATGAAATCTTACCTCCATTACCACCCACAGCTCAGTGTCGAGGTAGTAGCTTTCAATAAAGTTGACAATGTTTTCATGTCTGTGTTGTTTCATAACCACAATTTCTGATATGATTAGCTCCTTCTTGGGATGTTTATCGAGATCCATGATTTTAATGGCCACAACTTGATTTGTGTCTCTGCATCTAGCCATCATCACTACGCCAGATGCCCTATAACATCACAAGATGAAAAAAAAAACCATCATCTACATGTAAACAAATTACAGCCAAAAAGTCTGTGTCTCCCACCATATTACACTCCTTATTAAGATTAGTACTTCATGTCATATCATATTTTACATAGTAACCAGTTCATATATTATTTGCACTACACCAAATCTTGTCCTGCCTTCATCCCCTAAAGGAGCACAGGTCCTCAACCGACTCATGCCAAATCATTTGATCTTATCCCCCGTGTGGGTTCCGGGGCCCCATTGTGGGGAAAACAAGAATAGACCCACTGCCTCCCCAAAAGCATGTCGTAAGAGTCGACTAATTGGGGAGCTTCCTTTGAAGTCGGAGTGCATCTGCCGGAGAGGCAAGGAACCAACAGTCTGTATTCAAGAGAATGAGATCTGTAAAACTGATGCACACGCAACACTCAGGTTCTGGAGCAGGACTGCAGTTCAGTAGTGGACGAGCAACCAGAACCTTCCGCCAGAGTTTACAGCTGGTGAACGCGAAGAAGAAGAAGAAGAAGAAGAAGATTTGATCGTATGTTATTCCATGCCGCTCACCCCCACGCCCTTTCCATCTTTTTCACTTGACTCTCTAGCTCTGTTCTTCGTGTGTGTTTTGGTCTGCCTTTATTTCTATGCTCCTGTGGGTTCCTGTGCAAAGACACTCTGGTTATACTGTCCTCAGGTTTTCTCAAAGTGTTTCTTATCTACCCAGAGCCAGCATCTCTGGAATTTGTTTAGTTCTCTGCCAAAGCTCAACATCTGTGATTTTATGATACTATTTAATCCCCTCTATTCTGTGCAGACACCAGTTAATGAATGTCTGTAGTTTATCAGTAATTGTTTTAGTTCTCCATGGTTCTGCCCCTTAAAGCAGTACTGATTTGACATTAGAATTAACAATTGTAATTTTAGCTTCCTTTGATTGCCACAAATGTCCTTATGCTATGAAAGTCATCTTGTCTTTTTGTTTCAAATATCTCCATCAGTTCCCCCTTCATTTTCTACAGAACTGCCCAAAAAAGTGTATAACTTCACATCCTGGAGTGGGATTATTCCATTACCTTTGTCTTACCTAATTGTTGTTTTCCCACATCAAGTATATTTAATTTATCTTGCATCTGTTTCTATGAATAGGACAGAAGAGAAATATCAACAGTTAAGTCCAGATCATCAAGCTTTTTTGTTGTAGAGGTCCACTGAATTCCATTCCTGGTATTAGTGCTGTCTTTATAATCCAGTCTATCGTCAGTTTTAAAAAAAAAGGAGAGAGGCAACAAAAGACATTCCTGTCTCACACCTGTCCTTATTTCAAATGTATCTGTTAGCTTTCCCTCATGAAGAATTAACCATTTCATATCTTTATATACTAAGTTAATCATTTTCTGTCAAAACAAACTGCAAGTGGCAAGTAAGCACTGGAACGCTGGACCACTGAAGACGGGGGGAAAAAGCGCTTAAAGACAAGAGCTATGTCGATTAACTCAAATAAACTTCATACAGATATGAAATCCAAATACTAATTTTTGGTTTTGAAGAGTTTAAAGATAGTTCTGCAACACAGTCCCCCAAAGATATGGTATTATGTTTTGGTTTGTCAGAAAGGCCTCTACAACAGTCTCACTTAATAGATGCACACCAATACATTTGATATAATTAAAATTCAGTTTTCTAAAGCATTCACAACCAACAATACCCCCCCTCCCCCCAACCAGCAGTTGACAACATAACTACTCCGTATTATGCTTCACGCAACAGGGGACCAGGCTTTAATGATTTCCATTTAGTGGTCCGAGAGGAGAAAACTCCTTTGCCAGTCAAGATTTTGTGTCTTGTCACTAGTGTCATGGAGAAGGAGAGAGTGATAATACAATCAATCAGGTGCCATTTCCATAATGCAGGTTGGTTTAAATGGATCCTCAAAATACTGTCTTTTGTCTTGGTTGTATGTAAATACTCTCAAACTGCTGTTTGTCCATCTCTTGATGTTGTCCTTCTATTTGTATCATTGTCTACCACTTGCTCTCGACATATCCCTCCAGTATATTTTTTTTAAAGTAGTTATATCATGTATTGTGGCCAAAATATTTAAATTGTCTCTCTTTTTCAAATTTCTATCAGTAGTTGGAAACTGCGTGTTCTCGAGGCATGGTGTCCGCCTCGAGTGCTAGAGGTCCCTGATTCAATCCCCAGTGAAGGCTGAGATTTTTTACACACTGATTTCAAGTAATTTCCCCTGGTCTCTGTGTAGTAAGATCGGACGCCTATGTGTATTGTTGCATAGGTTAAAAAATCCCTTGGCAGTTGGAAATGGAAAAGAGTAGCCTAACAACTATGCTAAATTTGGAGTTAAAAATCTGTTAGGATCATCAGTACATCCTAATCTCCAGAGACTCAATTTGATTTTCTAGTTGCATGTTCACTGTCTAAGCTTCTGCACCACACATCAGGCTTGGAAATACATCTTATTTGACAATTCTCATTTTAACGTGTTGTTTATATTTGTCAGAACCCTGTTTGTACAATCATTGGGCGGTTCATACCATAGAGATGGTGTACGGTGTGTATAGGCATGACCCAGAGTTGACGGACAGGTCATCACGGTGGAAGCATGACTGTCCAGGTATGCGCTGTAATAGCTGAGGGGAACTACCGCTCAGCTAGATCTAATTGTGACGGCGATTAAGTCATGAAAGAGTGAACTCTCTTTTTGGCAGGGACCATGATTGCGGCATGGCCCTGGCTGAGCGATAGACCACAAAGTGGGAGACAAAGGGACATTCTTTTTTGGGACAGCAGAAAGGAGATATGAGATAGTTTGAGAGTTAGAATTTAGCGTGTCATAGAAATGCTTTAGTGACCGAATAGATTGCGATAATGTGTATCGTTAGGGTAGTATAGCTTCTTTGTGGATTTTCTAGGGAAACTTTTACGTTCAATGGTTTCCCACTGCTTACTTAATGGTCAGCTCTTGGTGCCACTATTGAAACCAATGCTAATCGTCTGCTGCTGGGATAAAACATGGCACCCCAACATTATGAAGTGCATTAAAAATGCCTAAGCCACAGATGCCAACTATGAAAATGTACAAAATGAAAACTGACTTACCCAGCACCAAGTCTCTTTTGTAAATCATATTTCTCTTTAGCACTGCCTGGACTTGACATTTTCTCTAACATGGAAGAAAGCAAACTATGTAAGTTTAAACAGTTATGGAACAACAGAAAGATTAGGATTATAATAGGACAACAGAAAGTTTAAGAGTGTAGTGGGACAACAGAAAGATTAGGATTATAATAGGACAACAGAAAGGTTATGAGTGTAGTGGGACTACAGAAAGATGTTTTAGGATTATCACTCTATGAAATACTTTGGCAAAGTGTTTAAGAAAATTATCATTGTTAAGCTGCAGGCATTTTTAGAAATGAAAGAGCTGTTGAAAAGAAGCCTGGGCAGTTACCTGCCAGGGAAAGATGCCTTGTCAAATGCGGCCACATTTGCCTTTGATTTTTGAGGGGTTTCAGAATAGATAAACGGTGGTGGTGGTGGCGACTCTTGATCTTGAGGATGCCTACAATATTAAGATATTTGTGCTCATGGAGAAGGGGTTGTGTCCCTGGCTGGGGAATTAGATAGCGGCTGTTCTGTGTTCCTGTAAAGTCACCGTCTGCCTGGGTAGATGGACTTCAGAAGCATGTAATATCGCTTTAGGATTACTCAAGGGTCTAGCAGAACTTGAAGCACCAGGTATTAGAAGGTTACTGACATTTGCAGATAATGTTCTTGCATAATGGCAGGAGCGATAGGCAACAGACAACCCAAGAACTACAGGCAACTATAGACAAAGTGACTGATTGGCGTGCAGAAATAGGTGCTGTCATCAATCCAAACAAGGTGGCTGTTTTATGGTACTCTCTAGACAAAAGAACTGTAAGAGATGCTGTTCCAAGTCTCACAATTAATGATAAAACATCAAAAAGAGAAAGCAAACAGGAGTACCTGGGTATCACTTTCAACAGAAGGCTGTCCTTCAGGGATCTTGTGGAGGCAGTTGCAGCAAAATGTCAAACAGGACTCAGTGCACTTCAGGTTATGACAGCAATGGATATGGAACAAAGAATGTTCACAATGTTTCAGCATTTGATCCTGTCGGTGATAGATTGAGGATTTTGAATGATTACCATATTAAAGAGTCAGCTGATGAAACTTCAACGCAAACATGGTTGCAGGGTGCTTCAAAATCAGCAGAAGTTCGAAAGATGATTCATGAATATTTTCACCATGGTGATGTGAAAATATGTACAGATGGCTTTGTGTTGAAAGGCAGATGAAGCTCATGGGGGTTCTCAGAAAAAAATGAACAAAGCCTGGCATGTGACAACTAGTTGAGAATGGAGGTGGAGGAAGTCACTGCAGCCTTTCGCTGGCTTGAGAATCAGCTGTACACATCTGTTGTGATTGCAACCAACTCACAGAGCATGTTGAGACAGGTGGAGACTGGTATGCTCTATGAAGAGTGGCAAGCATCGCTTCAGAGGTCCCGGGTAGTTACTATCCAGGCAGATAGACTGGTTGGTTCTGCACAACTTGGTGGTGAGACAAGCTAGACATTGTAAGGTCCCTTTGGGGGCAAGTGAACAGTGTGGAAGCACAAATAGATCATCATGGTCTGAAGAGATGCACTGCGAGGAGAGTCCTGTGGATCTAGTCGATGATCAGTACTCAAAAGAAAAGGTGAGACAACTGGAATTGGAACTGTGCCTGCTGCTGAAGATAGAGAGGGAGTGCTTATGGGAATGTCCTGTGTGTTGTGATGTCAATTCTTGATTAAACAAACAGAAAGATTATGAGTATAGCGGGACAACAGAAAGGTTAGAAATAGAGTGGGGAAACAAAGGTAAAGAGCATACAGACGCAAATCTTGAAAAAAAAATAAAGGATAATGCAGAATTACTCACTCAATGTTTCTTTAACTTCATGGTCTGTCATCACCCTCCTTGACTGTGGTGGCCCCATCAAGACTTCATTTTCATCTACAACAGTTCTCAACTTATCAGAATTCTCACATTCTACAGGTAGGTCATCAGTGGTCAGCTCAGGTGTACCAACTCCCTTCTAAACACAAATGCAGGTTGGCTTACATAGGTACTGGGACATTGTGATATCAAGTTTTGAAAGTGATTATATGACAGCGATATTTTAAACAAACAGATAAAACTAATTACAGCATCCTGTTTTCCCAATCATAATAAAATGGCAGGCTCATGGATGTTCATCTGTGTCTTCTTGTTCCAGGAATTGACTATTGCACACGTATCTAAGGTGATCAAGTCGAGGATCAAGTCAAATGCAGAGTTTTAACTTTATAGTAAATGGATCACCCCATAATTACTCTGTACGGGTGAAAATCATAAAAAAAATGTCCATCTCTGGTCCCATGTAAACAGTATAACAGTCCCAGCAAGATAAAACAGCTTGCAAACACATAAAATGCATAAGGCAGCTGCCAAAAGTGCCAGTAGCAACAGTTTTTTACTAGAATTACAGTTCATAGATGATGGAAGCAACAGTCATGACAAACACTTCACTGCCTAAGGCAACCCACCAGTGCTGTTGCAACCAGTTACCCTTCATTTTCTGAACATGCAGTTGACAACTGAAACCTCTACAAGTACAGATCAAAAGCATTCCATGTGAAATTCCCAGCTCACAGAGTTGCATAATGTATTTAACTCGGCAGCTGGTAGACAGAACCAGATTTAGCCTCTACCATGTTTATTGTCTCACCCAGTTTATCTTCTTTTTTTTTTAGTGTTCACTTTCTGTAAACTTTGGCGTCAAGTTCTGGTTTTTATCCCCTTCTTTGGTCTTGTTCTAGAATCTGGTTGCTGTGTGCACATCCTTTTTACAGATTTGGATTATCTGTATGCAAACTGTTGGTTCCTTACCTCTCAGACAGATACACTTTGACTTTAAAGGATACACCAATAAATAGTCTCCTTTTATGACATGCTTGGTTATACGGGAACAGTAGGTGTATTCTTTTTTTCAGAAATAAGGTCAGGGAACACACAAAGGATGCTCGGAGAATGAAACCCCAGCCTTCCACTGGAAAGAACAGGGTCCACCACATGAAAGTGAGCAAGTCTTGAACAAGAGAGGTCAGGAGATATTAGGAGTCATATACTGTGCATTACTATTTAATGAGGATCACACACATATGTTTTACAGATCTGTTTAACTGTGGGAAGACTGCTACTCCTCACATTTCCGGCAGATACACTCCGACTTCTAAAAAAATACATCAATCATATATATATCTACATTGGCTAGGCTTTGTAAAGGGAATGTTGAATTAACATCTCAGCATTCAGGTCATTTCCATAAGAGCTCCTTCCCCATCTTCTGATTGAGTAAAAGCATATAATAATTAGAAATGGGGGAAAGGAAGCATGAAGAAGTAACAACAAAACAAAAAAAAACAGTAAAAGGAAGCAAGGAATCCAGATTTATAAATCCACAGTTCTTTATGCCAACCTTATCTTGAAAATGTTTGTGATCTGATTTTTCTGGGTTGACAGAATATGTTTCATTTCTGCTGGCCCTGGCTTCCTGGTTGTTCTCAGATGATGACCGATCGACAGGATCTATAATTTCCTCTGATTCCCGGATTGTTGTTGCAATCATCATGTACTTGACTGCAGATGGCTGGTGCTCGATAGAATGAGTATACATTTCTAGTGAATTCATCACAGCTTCCGGATTTTCTCTTTGTTCCTTCTTTCTGCAAGAAAGTAAACATTCATTTCAAAGTTATTCTATGATGTAACAATCTCAAAATTTCAAATGAATCTGCACTTTTAGTCTCATCTCTAGCTTCACACACCAGTCCATTCTATGTTCCCTCCCAGTCTGATCCCTAACTTTCAACCTATCTGTCCATTCTATGTTCCCTACAGTTTAAGATATCTGCTCTCCTAGTCTCATCTCTACAGTTTAAGATATCAGCTCTCCCAGTCTAATCTCTACAGTTTAAGATATCTGTTCTCCCAGTCTAATCTCTACAGTTTAAGATATCATCTCTCCTAGTCTAATTTCCACAGTTTAAGATATCAGCTCTCTAGTCTAATCTCTAGAGTTTAAGATATCTGCTCTCCCAGTCTAATCTCTACAGTTTAAGATATCTGCTCTCCCAGTCTAATCTCTACAGTTTAAGATATCTGCTCTCCCAGTCTAATCTCTAGGGTTAAGATATCTGCTCTCCCAGTCTCATCTCTAGAGTTTAAGACATCTGCTCTCCCAGTCTCATCTCTACAGTTTAAGATATCAGCTCTCCCAGTCTAATCTCTACAGTTTAAGATATCAGCTCTCCTAGTCTAATCTCTACAGTTTAAGATATCAGCTCTCCCAGTCTAATCTCTACAGTTTAAGATATCAGCTCTCCCATTCTAATCTCTACAGTTTAAGATAGCTCTCCCAGTCTAATCTCTAGGGTTAAGATATCTGCTCTCCCAGTCTCATCTCTAGAGTTTAAGACATCTGCTCTCCCAGTCTCATCTCTACAGTTTAAGATATCAGCTCTCCCAGTCTCATCTCTACAGTTTAAGATATCAGCTCTCCTAGTCTCATCTTTACAGTTTAAGATATCTGCTTTCCTAGTCTCATCTTTACAGTTTAAGATATATGCTCTCCCAGTCTAATCTCTACAGCTCAACCTAACTGCATTTTCAGACTGATCCCTAGTTTAAGCTATCTGCTCTCTCAGTCAAATCCCTATAATTTAAATAATCTGTTCTCTTAAGTCTAATCCCTACAGTTTAACATATACATCAGTTCTCTCAGTCTAATCCCTACAGTTTAACATATACATCAGTTCTCTCAGTCTAATCCCTACAGTTTAACCTATACATCAGTTCTCTCAGTCTAATCCCTACAGTTTAACCTGTCTGTTCTCTCAGTCTAATCCCTACAGTTTAACCTGTCTGTTCTCTCAGTCTAATCCCTACAGTTTAACCTGTCTGTTCTCTCAGTCTTATCCCTATAGTCCAATCCGTCTGCTCTCCCACAATGATCGCTAAACTTCCACTTGTCTGTCGTCTCAGTCTAATTTACCAATATCACTATGAAAAATGCTAACAGCAAATATATAATCATTGGTATAATGGGCAAATTCAAAGGAAATTTACAAACTTTATTAATGCACTACAAAATTATGCAGGAGAGAGGAAAATCTAAAAATTAATAAACTAACAAGTAGTTTTCATTCTTGTCCTTTCAAAATTGTACTTTTATGTAGAATCTGTATACTTTTGCTGACTTCCATTATGAATATTTTTTGTTAAGTTTAATTTTATATGCACAGCACTTTTAAAATAGTATCTTATGCTCTCATAATCTAAACCATCTCTCTTTCTCTGGATATCCTTGTGGCTGTAGTCTTTCAGTTTGCTATGAATAAACCTATTTTGATTTGATCTGATGTGAACAACAGATCAACATCATGGCACAAGGGTAGTAACCCATAAGCGCTCCGGTCTACTTCCAACTCAAACATGAGTCTGAAAAATCTTGGCTCAGTGCATGAACTCAGTAGCACCGGCGAGGATCCTGAAGTATTCTTGGTATATTTTTAACTATAAATTTTTCCCGGGCAGCACCGTTAGGTTACTGTTTTCGATTTCCAACTGTCAAGGTTTTTATTATGTGTGCAAAAATACACAAGGGCATCCGATCTCACTACTCACAGACCAGAAGAAAATACTAAAGTCCATGTGAAAAAATCCCAGCCTACACCGGTGCTTGAACCTGGGGCATCCAGCACTCAAGGCAGTCATCATGCCTTGAGACCACCAAACACAAACATATTTTGTTTACTGCTAACCAATCACTTAACATGACCTTTAAATCTTGCCTAACATATTTAATTTAGTTGGCTAATAATTTCAGTTGTAGATAATTTTTGTGTCTACTCTCAGTAAAGGAGCCACAGTAGAGCAGGACAAGATGGCTGCACTGAGTGTGAATAACCTACCTACTGATGTTTATAACTGACCTAGGACTCACTTGAGGACAAAACCTAAAATATGTACCAGGAAATGTCCCGCACATCCACCAGGAATGCCAGCTGACTATTAGAATCCAGGTCTGGCACCAGATTCCCAATGGAATTAAAAGGTGGCTGTAATTTATTTATATCTTTACTCTCAAGAGAACTGTCCAGCGAGCTGTGACTAGGAGATTTGTCTGACACTTAACACTCAGGGGATAGACAAGATGAAGATACAATCAGACTGTTACTTGTATCATCAGGACTGTCACTTGCTGCTGAAGATGGATGGAAATGTCCTGAGTATCATGATGTCAGTTTTTACCTCATATCTCATTACGTTAACATCAATTATTTTGATGATACATAGTAATCTAAAAAAATGTCTTTTTACAGTTTGGTAGGACCATTCATTACTATCCTTAAAGTCTCAAGAAAGTGATGAAATATACACAAAAAAAGGCAAACAAGATACTTACGAGATATTTGAATTCTGTAGCAGCCTCTCCCAAGACTGTGGCATGCCAACAAATTCTCCTTTCTGGTCATCAAAACCAACATGATAAAGTCTTTTCACATTAAATGGTTCACCAATTGACAATACAGCATTTATGTCTCCAGAAGCAGAATTGGAATTTGGAGTTTTTGTCTTAAGTTTGAAGAAATGCTTGATATTCTGCATCTTTTAACTGGGACCTCTGTCAGATCTTTAGAGAAATAACTTCAAATAACTGCAAGAAAACCATATGTTATAAGCATTTACAATTAAAATTATATTCCAGGATACATAAACATTACAATTTAATGCATACCAACTGCTATAATATTCTGTTACACATAGGACGGATCACTACTATTTAGAGAGAATGGTGCCGCAGGCAGTGACCAGGAGATCTTACCAACACTTAACGGAAAGGCAGGATGGTTATAATTAAACTGCTACTGGTACCACCACAATAGAAGCTGCTAAAGAAGGTACAGAGTGCTTATGGGAATACTCCAAGTGCTGTGATGTTAATAATTTTTTATTGAAATCTTTACTGTCTATAGTGACTAACCAATAGAGCGGTGGAGGACAGAGGGGTCTCGAGCCAGAGCGTTTAGGTGTTATGGGTAGTGCTGCCACCACGGACTGTTAAGGGTAGGGTTTTAGTTGCCCCAGACACACACAGAATCTATTAGCTTACTGAAGATTCAAACGTGGGTCTACTAAATGAGAGCTTAACTGCAATGTCTTAATTGAGCTTTATTTTAAAAAAAAGGACACAGTACATACAAATAATATCTTTACTTTCCTCCATGCTTATTTGTTAAAATCTGTCATTTTCATTACTGTGACTCATCTGATTCTGTGAATATTTGTTGTTACTGAAATTTTCTATCAATCTTAATTATTAAATCAAGTGTCCTCTCCAAAATTTCCCATTATTCTCTGTCTCCTGCATTAGTTGCATTTATTGACAGACTGCTGTTTGTCCACCTTTTGATGTATGTATCCATATCGCTGTCTTTTGCTTGCCTTTGTTGCTCCAGTATGTTTTTATAAAACTGTTTTATGTTTTAATGTGGCAGAATTATTTCTTCCCTTTTAAAAAAAAAATCTATACGTACCATAAGGTTTTATACGAGACCCTCAAGCAACTGCTAGATAAATCAATGAGTGTATTGCTTCAAACAAGCTTAATACTAGAGAATTGCTCTAGGGGCTCTAACCAAATATATACCAATACAAGAACATATTACATGTCAGGTGTCATGCACCACATGTTTGGGACTGAATGAAAGAGTTGAGTCTTTCAGCTTTCAAGTTCTCTCTTTTAATGACTAATGAGAAATCCTTTACTTCCTAAAAATTAACTAGAATAACAGATCAATCAAGTGCAGTCTCCACAAGTGAAGGTTGGCTGCAACAGATTTCCCACATTTTGTCTCTTGTCCTGGTAGCACACTGTAAATACATTCTTTCAGAGAGACTGCTCACTGCCCATCTTTTGTTGTTGTCCTCTGTTGTGAGCAATATATTGATAGAGCAGACGCTTCAGAATCAGAAGTTTAACGATTCATGACAATTCCCGCCCACGTGATGTGATTATCTATACAGATGGCTCTGTGTTGAGAGGCAAGGGGGTTCATATCAAAAGTGAACAAAAGATGCTTAGTGCAACAAAGTATGGCATATGTGATCACAACGTTTGAGAATGGAGGTGAAGGCAGTCATTGCTGCATTCTGCTGGCTTGAGAATTAGCTGTACACACATGCCATGTTTGTAACTGACTCACAGAGCTTGTTAAGAAAAGTGGAGTCAGGTATGCTCTGTGCAAAGTGGCAAGCATCACTTTAGAGGTCCTGGATAGTAGCATCCTATGGATATTCTCTCCAGGTAATGCTGGTGTGTTGGGAAATGAGCAAGCAGATCCACTGGCCGGTTCTGCACCACTTGGTGGTGAAGTGATGTATGACAAGCGAGTGAATAGTGTGGAAGTGCAAATAGATAATTTTAGTCTAAGAAGAATGGCACTGCGTGGAGTTGCCAGGGAATCTGGCCGATGCTCAACACTCAAGGAAAAGGTGAGACGGATATATAATCAGGCAGGTACTGGTGCCATTGGAATTGAAACTCTTTGTTTGCTGCTGAAGATGGGATGGAGTGCTTATGAGAGTGTCCTAAGTGCTACGATGTTAATTCTGAATTTAACATTGGAAAAATAAAGTTTTATGTCCCTTGGACATTTTGTCCATGTAGATACAACATTTATGTCCCTTGGAGTTTACATTTCAACTTATTAAGGTGATATGTAAATCGGACCGCAGACTGATTTGTCAGGATCACACGGTCAAGGACCTGTATAGCCGTGCAATGTTCATAAATGAGTGAACCACAATTTTCCTGCTAGGCATAAGAAAACTCATGTGGAGTTAGTTAACTGTGTGTTAATATTAGAGAGACTTCATTCCATGAAGTCAGAGGAGCAGTTGCCTCTACGATGTTGGAGGTGAAGGACACACCATCAAGAGCCCCTGAAACCCAATGCTGTTCTTAAGCGCGTCATTGTAGGGCATTACCAGGGAGCTCTGCAGATGTACACGAATGTAGGTTGTAGTGTGGGTATTGGCAGGCTAGACTTGTGCACCTATGTGTCACGCTAGGTGACAAAGTGAAGTGTTTATGTTGTCTGCAGAGTTTTCTCAGTAACATGGTTCCAGCGTCTGTGTGCGTGATGAGAGATTCAGGATATCTTAAGGTAAACTGACAGGCCAAAGATGGGAGGTTTGGATAGTTTTTCACAATATAATGTACATCAACCTGCATGGTCTTTAGTGACAGTATCTCGAAGATATAGGAGTCATCCCAGAGACAGTCATGTTAGTCACGAAAGGTGGATTTGCGCGATTGGGTTGCCTGTAGAACCACAGAACATAGTGTGACAGGAGGAGTCTTCCAGAGCAGCATCTCGAGATAGTGTATATGTAGCAGAAGGAAGAACAACTGTATTATTGTGTTAATCATATATTGTGATGCAATCTATTTCATGATGTCAGAATAAAGTGTATAGTCTTTGGCAGTAAATCTGTATTCAAAGTCATCCTCTTCTTCTTTCGTTTGCTTAAAATAAATTATCTGTATCTCAGAGTCATCTATGACTGTAGGGCGGGAGTTGTGACCTGTTAAGTCTTGACATTACAGAGTTAACCCTAGACCATTTGGCAAGTGTGCGAGTCAGACAGGCCCAGTACCAGGAAGCCTGTAGTTCTAGAACAAGAGCAAAGTCCTCAAGTGGATGAACAGCCAGGACTTTCTGCTAGAACTACAGCCAGTAAATGCCAAGAAGAAGAAGACTGGCTGGTACCAAAGGAGTTAAACGTCAAACATCACACACGCGTCATCCTCCCACACGTATCCATCTACCTCTTGCTCCCCTACCTTTAACTTTTTCTCTCCAGTAAAGATTTTAAACGTGTGTTATGTCTTTTATAATAGCTGAAATATTTTAACTGTGGTTAATATTATTAACATTAATTAAATTTAAATATATCATCAATAATTTTGATTGATTCTCTACCGTTATTTCATCATGATGATTGCTTAACATATGTTGTTATAATATGTTAAGTGAATCACAAGGGCTCAGAATGCTGAAGAAGAAAAAAATCTAGAAATAAATAAACAGAAAATGTGTTGTGAAACAAAGAAAAATAAAAATGTTAAAGTTTGCTGAGTTGAATTTAAAATTAGGTATCAGTATCATGAGAATTTCAAAATTGGTCTCCAAACTTTTTTAACACAAATCGTATTTTGTTTTAATGTTGTTCGTCCATAATGAGTGATGAAAACCCCTTTTCATCCAAAGTATGAATGATTAAGAGTACAAAGATGGCTGATTAGCCCAATGTGAGCCTGGAAAGTTCTTGAGCAGTGCGAACAGGTGGAAGCCGCAGGAGTAAGTTGTGGATGAAAAAGTGACTTGCGCAAGGACTTGGAATTAAAGTAAGGAGGAGATGCCCAATTCGTCAACCTCACTCTCTCGCCTACTGTGTTCATCTTGATCCACTGGCAGGACAATCAATGTCGAGACGATTGGAGATGAAAACTAGGTATATCAATCAATATTATCAATAATATTATTATTAAACATTATTAATAAATTATTTATACACTTCAACAGTATAGTATAAACTTTGTCTCTCCTCTGTACTTCAACCCGATATTATGGCGGCCATAAATTATCCTTACGGGGCTCAGGTATATGTAAAATGCGGACTTTCTGCCAAGGAACAAATCGCGGCAAAACTAGGATTACTTGACAATTTCATGAGACGCAACATTGCAGACGATAGTAGCAGACAATAATAGCATGCGCAAAACGCAATTAAACTCACCGCCGAGCGTATTCCCCGCGCCGCTACGCGTGGCACGGATGGGGGGGCTAAACTAGGTGCCTAGGACTCACGAGCATATTAATTGGAGGACGTTGCAGGAGATGCGGTAGCTGCTGCTCGTAAGTCCCAGCCATCTAGTTTAGCCCCCATACGCGCGGCGCGGGCGCGGGAGACACGGTCGGCGGTGAGGCATCGTCACAGGTCCGCAAGTAACATATCGCTGAGACCCTATTAGAGCATTTGTTTCGTTATACATATTTTTTAATAGAATTGAGATCCGTAAGGATATTTTATGGCCGCAATATATATAATATATTGGTTGAAGTTCGGAGGAGAGCCAAAACTTTATTACAATTACATGTCCACAGAAAAAAAAAACAATAGTTAAAAATGGAATCATGACATGCTCGCGAATTCAGGCAGTTTCAACTGTAAACAATGACGAAGAGAATAAAACCTACCAAATGACTGTGATGCTTGAAAAACGAACGACGTTGCGGTCAGGGCAGCTGAGTGTGTCTCCTAGGGCGCTTTCATCGGCTCAAATCCACTGGGCGTCTACACAATCAAAACTGTAACCGGCAATTTATTCTATCGGCCCGGATACCGGCAGTTGAGCGGTTCTCAACGCACAGTTTACACAAAGGGGGTGCGGAAAGCATCAAGCAATTTTAAAAATGAATTTATCTGTTCTTGTAAAAACCCACATCTTTAAGTCATAAATGAAATATTTATAACACTACTAATAAAAACAAAAAGCCAAAGACGTTTAAAAAAAAATTTAAGCAGTTAGTACTACTGTA